ATACGTCAAATGTTAAACGTATTTACCTCGACCACGTTAGAGAAAGTGAGCAAAATCAAGAACATTGAGATAAGTAACAAGAAGCTAGCATTGTAACCACTCTTTGCCATTTTTCTTCTCTTCAAATGGAAAGTGAAATTACTATATAGTTTGAAGGAAAATAAAATATTTAAGAAGAAGAGAAGATAAATGGAAATATTTGATGGAATTAGAAGAGTAAAGTGTGAATATTTATAGACTAATTTTAATTTGTGATATTAGCATTTTTAGTCCCTCAAATATAATATAAATTCTGATTTTTGATCCTGATGATTTTTATGAAGCAAATATGACCTTATAGTAATGGATACGTGCAATTTTGATCCCTATTAACTATGAATCTTTACAAATTTAATTATCAAATTATATTCGTTCTGTCCATGTATATGACACTCTTTTCTTCTAAATCAGTTTAAGAAAAAATGACATATTTATATATTTAGTAAGTAATAATTAATTTCAAACTTTCTATTTTACCTCTTAATTAGATAATTTATAGACCCACAAAAAATTTAAAATTTATTTTAAACTAAAAATTTCAAAATATCCATCTCATTCGTAAAATTGATTATAATATCATTATATAAATTGGATGGAGAAAATAAGAATTAAACTATCTGATTATCGATATACTATATTGATTTTAAATATCACTCCATAACTGAGAATAACATAATTCTAAAAATAGTATTAATATCACATACTTTCGATCAAGATCTACAATAACTTATGCAATGTAATACTATAAATAGGGTATGAAACGGATAATGTATATGTAAACTTTATCCATATCTTAAGAATATAAATTTACTTTTGATACATTTTCAACTCAAAATTATACATTACAAAGTGACTAAAAATACGTATTTTTATTTACTTGAATGCTATAATTATAATTTTTCAAAAGGACTATAAGTGTAATTATTTCTATCAATTTGGAGGTAGATAAAATTAAAACTAAAATAAATAAAATACAAAAAAGCAAGTAAGCGAATATTAGGGCGTAAAAATGGGACCAATGCACAAGAAAAGTCCATTTAGTTGATTGATAATTATGAAATAAAGTTAGCGGTGATAACGCCGTGTTTGCGGTGAATTATAATTTTTGTTTTAATTTTTTTTAAAAAAAATATTGTCAACTTTATCTAACAAGTTAGTCTATCAAAAATAATTTATCTGATCTAAGTTCTAAGATAATAATAAGATTCGTTGTTATACAATCTCTCTCATATCTTACTGTTGACTCGATTCAGAAAACGTAGAAGGAAGATTAATTTCGAATCATTCGTGCGAATGATCATCCTATAAATCGACTGGGTCATTTCGAATAACGATGTTTTGGTGTTGTTTTTATGGAAAAAATCTTTTTGACCAGAAAATTTTACCAGAATGAGATCTTTTGTGTGTAATTTCTTTTTTAAAACACTTTTCTCTTTTAGCTTTAATACATTTTACTAGAAATAAAAAAGATTAATTTATTTTAAAATTAAAAAATATTATAATTTTAAAATTAATTCTGACTAAATTTTCTGGTCACTATTCTCGTTTTTATGTATCTAGCATATTAGTTGAGGAGTTTTCTTGGATCTTGAAATTTTAGAGACAAAAAAAGGAAGTACTATTCTGTTGTTTCATTTCTCTTTTTTCTCAATAATGCCAAAAAATTAAAATTTGATTATATTTGTCCAAATCAATTGCTCCATAACTTTTTTTCTGATTTAATTATTCTGTTTGTAAAGTTTATACTGAACAGATTATAAAATCTATTATAAAGTTTTTTTTAAAAAATGATTTCCATTGAAAAGCTATACATCGTATATTAGATTAAGAATAAAAATATTCTAATCATTTGATTACATTCTTTGTGAATAAATAGTTAGATAAAAATTAATTTTGACGCTTGAAAATGAAGTATAAATTGGAATGATTGTGTTAAAAAGTTGAATTATATATTGGAAAAAGGATAGATCTGTTTTAAATTATTTGATTGACTTTAAATATTTATCACATGCAGCGATTATATGGATAATATAAAATTAAAAAATAAATCCTAGTGGTCACATGAGGTAACATGGCCTTTAAGCATTAGTCTTTTTTTTTTCCTACCGACCATCAAAAATTGTATGGGATAGATAACCTTTATTGTAACCATAAAAGTGTACTATCGAAAGCGTTAATCGTAAATTGATTTTTTTCTTTTTGTGTGGTAATTTTATGTTATTGCAAAATTGTTAATAATGAAAATATTGTATAGAATATATGATTGATAATCCTAATGGGTAGAGAGAGGACCAATTTATTGAGGTTAAGATTTAATCTGGTACGTCCATCAACTAACCAATATACGGATGAGATTCATTTATTATTTAACACTACTATTTATGATATTACTTGGATTACCGGTAAACTTGGGATACAAATAAGAAATAATTAATAATAATTAAATAATAGTTTTTATATAAAGATAACTGAGTTAGTGCAATACTCGATTAGTTGGTATTTTAATCGAGCTTATTGAAACATTTTTCTAGTATAATTTCCATCTCTCGTGTAATTTTATACTATTGCATAAGAGCTTTATCGAGTGTGCACGCATCAAAAAATACGTAAACTAATTTTTCATTGTAAAATCTATGGCGGCTATTCCTCCAAACGTGAGTCCGGATCCTAAAAGATGAAAAATATTAATAAAATTTTTAAAAGAGTATATGAAATTTTTTAAAAATCAAAATGGTAAAATTGTTAAGATTGTAACGATTTTGTTGGCCGGCGTTAAAGGAGAATCGCTGCTATAGCAGCGATTTGTATAATTTACTTTTTTATAAAAAAAAGAAATTCAACATATCGCTATGAACTCTTTTTAAAAAAATGTTTGATTGCATCATCGCGTGTATATATACTTTCCAGGAATATAATTGGAAAAAAGTAAAAAAAATTATAGTATCACGAAAAGAGTTATTTCATTATTTATTTAATTTTTTTTAATTTTTGAAGTAAAACGCTGCCTTGGCAGCGATTTACCAATTTACTTGATTTTTTTTTAATTTTTGAAGAAATCACTGCTTTGGCAGCAACTTATCAATTTACTTATTTTTTAAAAAAAGTAAATCGCTGCCTTGGTAACAATTTATTGATTTTTTTTTTATAAAAAAAGTAAATTGTACAAATTGTTGCTATAGCAGCGATTTTCTTTAACGCCGACCAACAAAATTGCTACATCCTTAACGATTTTACTGTTTTAGTTAAAAGAAAATTTCATATATAGCAACGATTTTCTTTAACGCCGACCAACAAAATTGCTACATCCTTAGCGATTTTACTGTTTTAGTTAAAAGAAAATTTCATACATTCTTTTGGAATTTTTGTTAATATTTTTTCCCCTTTAAGCTCCGCACTCCTACAAACATATTGATTGAATTAGTGAGAAAATAAAAAAGTAGTTAAAAAGATTGTATTTAATGTTTTTATATAGAAAAGTTAAAACGTTTTTCACTATTTTAATAAGATTCTTTATTTCATTATGCATTTTGTAAGTAAATCAAATGATATAGTAAAAGTGAATGAAAAAAAAATTATGAAATAAAACCTTTGTTTTTTTTTTTTTGGTAGTTATGCCCTTTACACTCAACTAGAAGGTTCAGGTTTGCAAGTTGAAGATGAAATTTTTGTTTGGGAGTGTCACGTAGATATCAAATATTGAATAAAATAAATTATTATTATAATAAATTAATAATATTTTATAATCAAATAAATAAAAGATTTCTCAGAGTTTAAATTCGATGAACGAAAGAATTGAAAATATATCACAACGACATAACGTGCATTGTCACGTATTATAAACTACATGCACTGTACGGACGTCATGCCTTATGAAAAAAAAAGGGAAACCCCATGTTGATGCATTTATTGCATATGTTGAGTATGATAGTAGATCTATGACGATAAATATTTATTCGTATTCGATATTTATATTACATAATAAATTTATATCGTTTATCATGAAAGAGTTTTACATATTCAAAAGAATCTCTTACTTTCTTGAACTAATTTCTACTGTGAGATGTTATTACTTATTTTAAAATTACTGAATTTAATAGTACTCTTTTTATATACTTGGTTTGAGTAATATATATTGGAGAATATTTTTTTCTCTCTAAAACTTAGTAAGATTGGTAGTATCTGTAAAATCATATCTTGATCATTTTAGCAATCATTATGATAAAGTGTGTATTATATAATATGGTACTTTCAGAAGCAAAAGCCCATCACTACGTCTACATATATCTCGTTAATTAATTAAACTATTATTGAGTAACATGCTTAATTAACACATTGTTTGAAAAACACAAATTTATATCTATTGGCACAAAGAATTAATAAATACTACCTAGTATATTTTTGACTTGCTTCTTTTTCTTCCATTATCCTATTCTTGAAAACTATTTCTTCCGTCTTAAATTAATCATCATATTATTTTCAAAAAATGTACGATAAGTATTACTAATGCAACTTTCTTTATGTTGGTTTGATAAAAATATGTATTCTAAAATCCAAACACAAAATAACTTGACTCGCTTATTTTTTCAGTAAATCCATTTTGACCAACTCAATCCATCCATTTGATACTCGTACCTTAGATTATTTATAATATATACTTATAATTAAACCCAAAAGGCTCCTACGTGACTATGGACCAAAGAACCAAAACTTCATTATCAGAGTACTACCATTCTCTTGCATGGTCCAACTTTGGCCTTGGAAGTGAGTGGTCAACTTTTGACCCCGTTTGCCCTATGAGCCAAACTTCACGTTTACTAAGTTTTGACTTTTGACCTTCGAAGGTGCAAAGCAGGGTAAAAAGTTCAAGACCATCCATTTCCGAGGTCGATAAGTGTAATTTCCGAACAAACCTACAAGTTAATATAGACTAGAGAATAGAGGCCAGAGTCAAGGGAAAGCTATTCCAACCATAATCATATCTTACAATTCCTTCCATATACTACATATATAAAGTTACAAACCATTTCTTATCAAATGAAAATGGCTTGAAAAACCAAACATAGTTCAGCCAAACGAAATTCGATTACTTAAATAGTTCTGTTTCATAAAAAAACTAAACAAACACAAACACTGTAAACTGAGGCCAGAAACTTGGCATCATATCTGCTGTACCTATTTTATTTTTTTTTCCTTTCTAAAACAACTCATTCTCTACCCATTTTTGTTCTGGGGTGTGCTAGCTTCTCTGTGCCGGGACATAATTTAAACATATAACAAAGGTAGGTGTGATTTAACTTACAACCCTCTATGTGAGAAGGGGAAGTTTCAAGCCAAGTTGAAATCTGACAACAGTTTCTTGAAATCCAGGGACTGCACGTCGTTGGAGAGATCTGTCAACAGTTTCTTGAAGTCCAGGGACTGCAAGTCATTGAAGCGATCTGCCAACAGTTTCTTGACCTCCGGGGACTCCTTGGAGACAAAAGCAACACCCACAGCCATTGTTAGACCGATAACAAAGAAAGCCTTCATGCATCCATTACCATGGGATAAACGTCCAAGTAAAATCTTGCAGTACTTCTGCACTTCCTTCAAGGACGCTTGATGAGCAGCATTATCCCCACTGACCAATGCCTTCTCGCTCTACAGTATCATAAAGAAAAAAAAGTATCAGATGAAATTAACATCGGCTATATGATGTCCATTAAACTACTTGTTTCCTTTCTTGAGAGGGCCATACTATCCTTCGTTGTTTATGATTTTTGACTAATCCAAAAAAATTAATATGTGGAATCTCATGTGTCATATTTCATGCCAAAGACACCTTACATCTCTTAAGGCATGCCAATTAGTGCTGAAAGATAAACACAGAAATAATACAATATCGCTGTAAGCGTGGCAAAAAGAACAATGATGTCTGGCCTTGTGGACTCTTTTTCTAATGCCAATGCCAATGCCCTCGCCCCACCAAAAACAAAATCCCAAAAGTGAGCATGAAACTATAATTACCTTTTCAACTGAAACAGACCTATAACAAGAGTAACCAAATAACTTGTAAAATTTGATAGACTTCATCTTTTGTTCAATAGATATCATTCTGGTATTTTCAACTCAGAAAGATTAACATACCTTAAGTCTGAGACTGTTCAAGGTCACCTTCAATGGATCAAGTTCAGGTCCCTTAGCAGAATGCGCCTTGAACTCTGTGGACAGCTTCTTAATTATTATTAGACTTGCTTCTACATTGTCCAGATAAATATTGTCCTGTTACAATCACAATGGAAAGATAACAGAGAAATTAGATAAATAAAGGGATGAGTTTGGAAAGATAAAATCAAGAACTTTGATTTCTTACCCACAGCTTGTAACAGTCGGGGTTCTGAGTCAAACACCAAATAGATAGCTCAGTAGCTTCCTTTGATAGATCAGGAACACCTATAGAACATGTAATATTTAGGACTATATAGCTGAATAAGCAATCACTAACAAATCAGACGCAAAAAACAAAGGAGCTACAGAGTCAACATAGAGTCGAACTTTTTGCTTTACCTTCCCCTACAGCTTTGATAGCAAAAGGCAGTATCCGCTGGGTTAGCTGCTTCATTGCTTTGCTCCCAGGGGCAGCAACAAGAGCTACCTCTTTCAGTGTAGGATAGACCGCTTCAAACCTGTCAGTGGCCTGAACATAACAAGCCTCACAAATTACTCCCATACAAAATGAATATATTTATTAGTAACTTATTAGAATATTGATGGAACGCATAATAACAGCAGTAAAAATCACCTTAATTCGAGCAGAAGGTGCTGGGAAGGTGATCCTCATCAAAACCTCAAGAGCTGATGGAGGCACAACACGTTCTCCCTTTCTGACTGCACCATTTATGAGTATAGCACGGGCTTTTGGTGAGGATACAATTCTGAAAAAATAGCGAACCACTTTAGTACTTGACGAGGTGATCAAACACATTTTAAGTAAGCTTAAGAAGAGAAGATATATGTACCTCTCAGCCAACTGTAACATTAAGTCTCTCGACTGTGGGTTACTGTTCAATTTACTGCTTAACAATGGTAAGAGAAAATGTACCCACATGAACAATCCCACGATTAAATCAGCTTGGCAAGCCTATAGGAATTGAGACAAGTTAGAGACAACAATAAGTGAGGGAGCATTGAAATGATAGATGATAGCAATATCCCAAAGATCATCTAGAATGAACAATGATTTTTACCTGAGTGACTGCCCAAATCATGACTGGAAGCTTATCTTGTCCTCGGTATTTCCCATTTTCATTCAGTATTGGTAAGAGACTGATTAAAACATCAGGTTTCCGTCTCAATACCATTGCTAGAACCACAAACATGGCAACCTGCAGTTCAATGACATATGTCAACAACGCTATCATATAAAAGTCACAGTATCAGCTATTGAGATCCTTAATTTCCAAGTTCATAAATACTTGGCAGATTTTGAATGATAAATATATAGTAAAAAGGAAAAAGAAAAAAAACTGTCCCAGAATAAAGTTTGACTTAAGCCAGTCTTCTAATAAGCAATAGCATATCGGCATGATATTTTCCAATTCATATGTTGAAAGAAGATGCAAACAATTGTAAAACTGCACTTAGTATATCCTTAGGAAACAGAACTGAGGAAATAAATAAATTAGTAATTCAGATTCATTAAACAATGACAGAGCTAAAAACGTTTCTTCTCCACTGAAATTTCATTTAGAGAGTTCAGAAAGAACATTTGAGGAAGCTCCCCAGAAAAAGGTTGAATAACACAATGATCAAGGTAAATCATCTGAAATGTTTAGGCTGACATCAAATTTGAAAACATGATAATAAGTTGCAAAAGAGAACATGTAGACAAACAAAATAAATAACTGTTCACCATGTTATGCAATTAACATAACTGAGCAAATTTCTTAAGAAGAATGGATCAGATTATTGTTCTAGCCCAAAAAGAAGATCTATTGACATGAAAAGACAGAATCTACAGCTGCAGGACAACCCCAAACCATTTAAATAAACAATCATATCACATGGTGTAGCAGAACCAGTTCATGAACAACACAAATGTATAGATATGAAAGGGAAAAAACTACAAACTACAAAGTTTCTGAACTAAAGGCAAACTGAACTTTACCAACGCCCTTCTCTGGAAATGATGTTTATGCAGGAAGCTGTATGCTATTTTATAAAACTACAAAGTTTCTAAACTAAAGGCAGAACTTTACCAACCCCCTTCCCCGGAAACGATGTTTATGCAGGAAGCTGTATGCTATTTTATTATAAAAATATTTCTTTAATTGACAATCATACAGGTGGGTCTCTCATTATATCAGTACACTTCTATCAAAAATTCATGTTTCTGCACTTGTAACGTGACGTTAACGACAGGTCTTCAGACTTACTTATCACAAGGGTTGAGTGTAAATATGCAAATCAAGGTTTTCAGATACACCACTCCACATAAGGCAACTCTTGAAATAAAGAAACATGAGCTACTCGGGATCACCACTTAATAAAGATTTTAGTTAGACAAGGACAGAAAACAAAATCCACTAACTATCGCATTTATCACGGATGGGTTCCAATAAGACGTGTTAACTAGTTATGGATTCAAATTCAAGATTTTATTGAACCCGGATGTACATATACAGGGGAAGCTTTAACCACACATGCAAGGTTCAGATATCCATGCCACCTTACCCAGTCAACCTTTTCGTTTATCCTTTATGGTGGATGATTCTTCAAATATATAGCACATTCAACTGATTCTTTCTTCTATCACCACAAAAAGACAACAGCAATTGAATCATTGAAGTTACACTACACATGCCACAAGCTTTCAAAATAACATGCAGAAAAGACAAAGCGCACACAGAAAGTGAGTGGTATTACCTGGGATTTTGAAGATACTTGCTGAACCACCTTTTTGGATCCCTTTGAAGCTCCTTCGTGCTGTACAAGATCAGCAATAATGCTATCCAATGACCATAACACAAAGGAACCAAGTGCATCAAATGATCGCTGGTTAAGCCAGTCAACAGATGTCTTATAAACATCCTCAGAAATTTGAGAAACAGGGATCTGTTCAATAACAAGAGAGTTAACTCATTATAAGAAACAGCATTACCAATAAGACAATAAATTGATTACTCAAAAATTAAAATTTGCAGGTGATACCATTCAGACTATCAAATTAAAGATCAAGAACATTTCATATAACATGTAAGGCATTCCCTCAAAAAAATCAAGGATATAAAAACAGAATATTGCAGAATTATATACTTGCTAGTTTCTATATCACACAATAGAATAGGTGTAAACAAAAGTACAAGATCCCCTTTATTCTGAATCAAAGAATTTGGATTCAATCAAATCTCCCCAAGTAGGATTCGAAGAAGAATCCTAGAACAAAATGATAGGTAGCTAACCAACTTATAAGAGAGACATAATTTAACTGCATTGATCTCGATTTTCATTATTGAATAAAAATTCATTGATTTGATTTATTTCATCTATTCCATGACCAGAACATTCAAGTACAAAGACTCAAATTTAGCTTTCTACACATTTAAGCATCTAACAAGTAAATAAAATCTAATTGAACATTAAAAAAACTAAAAAAAGAAAGAGAAAAACTCACATCAATCATCTTCTCAACTGAAGATTCCCTAAGAATCTTCATCCATGGGAACTGAGATGAACTCACTTTGGCGAATGCTCGTCCAAAGTAATCTGCAAATCGCATTAGCTGTATATCTTCCTGCTTATCAAACGAGGTCTGCAAATTTAAAAAAAAAAAGGAACTCCACAATTAAACATTCAGAATTCACCAATAAAAAACAACAGATCAGATTTTTCCAATTGAAAACTCACTGATATATCAACGAGATAAACAACTAGATCAGAATTATCGATCTTCGCAGCAGCTTCAGCAACAGTAACCTTAGGTTTCTTCACCTTCTTCGGCTTACTCTTCTTCTCCACAACACCGTCATTCTCAATTGCACCACCAGCGGCATCTTCTCCATCGCTATCCTGCTCGTTTTTATCAATGACGGCAGAACTTTCACCGGAAGCAGCTTCATAAAGCTTCTGAGACTCAACTATACGCTTCCTTCTCTCCTCCGCATGTTGTTCGATCGATCGGAAAACATCACCTGAGCTCTCCCCGTTGTTCCAGTTGCCGGAGAACTCCTCTCCCTGCTTCGACTTACCTGACTGTTTTTTGTTCTTCTTATGATACGACACCGTTTGCCATTCCTGTTCAGGTTCAATCAGAAAAGCTTCATACTCCTCCATGGTGAAAAATGCACAAAACGAATGAAAATCGGAAAATTAAACGGAAAACAGAAAATCAATTTTCCGTTTTCCTCTTTTATAATTCTAAAAGGAAAACGGCAAAAAAGGACGTCGGAATTTTCGCCGGTCGGAGAAAGATCACGGGGAGAGTGATCGTCGTCGGAGGTGTTTATATAGGGGGTGTTGAATCGGGTCGGGTTAAGAAGTGGACAAGAAGAGGCAGTGAGAAGAAAAGAGTTCACACGTGGACGATTGACACCTCTTGTTCATTACCTGTTTTACCCTTAGATTGTTTGCTAAATTACATTACTGTCGTTATATGTCAGGCTGGGGTTTAGCAGTGTGGTTTTGATCTGCTGCTGTGACACTCATGATAAGCTCTCATCGCCAGCTAATCAAAGCCGTTTATGGTCGAAGCTTTTTTCTCTCTATGTTCTATGCTTATATTATAGCTCAACTATTTTAGATTGACACTACATAGCTCGTAGGGTTCTATTTCGGGAGAAGCATTTTCTATAAAAGATATTTTTATAGAAGAGCTCGAATAGAAAGAGCAGTCTCACCAATTTCACCACATTCGTTTGTGATAATTTCAATGTATTTTGCTGATACATTTGTTGACATGTTAATATATAGGAATAATATGAAATAAGTTATAATGTTATTGCTAAAATTGATTCGCTTTAGAATATACAACATAAATTATCATATATCATACTCTATATGAAAACTTTAATTAGATTAAGATGTATAAAATTATCTCACTTTACGACTTTAATTCAAAAAAAAACTCAAAAGAATTATAAAGTTATCATGAAATGTATTAATAATGAGAAAGTTACATAAATATTCGCATGTTCATTGAGATATCATAAAATCTAACTCTTGTAGTCAAATAGGACCATTTCTCAGGAAAGATCAATTAAGAAGTAGAAAAGATAACAATAACATAATGAGTTAAATAAGACGGATAATTAGTAACAAGTTGAATATAATTTTAGTGCGAAGATAATCTTATAGTTCCATTATTCATATTGGATTCATCGATGAAGCTTTGAGATTGACCCAAATGTCTTTTACAATTTTGTTTATGCTAAATTATATTTAAAGACGGAGTATAAGATTAATAGTAAACAAATTTCTTGATAGATTGATTTTTCTCAATTTTATTTCAAGGTAAGCGAGAGATAATGACTATTTGAGCGTTACATCTTTACTTTTTTTTTCTATTCAACAATTGTATTTTGTTTCCCGATGCTTCTTAAATGAATGAATTACATCTTGTGCTAGATCGCTAATTAAACAAGTGTCTTATTGACAATTGTAATCATATGCCTCAATAAATAAATTTGAATTGTTTCTTTGAAGTACGATCATTTCAGATACAAAATCTCCTCCAGCAAAATCTTACGCTTCATGTGATAAAGATATGAATCCTTCTTCTTTCACTATGTTATCTCTTTGTTCGATACTAAATTAATATTATGAAATCATATCAACCGTCTTTAAATAGACTTGCTAATATAATTAAAAGATCTTTAAAATATACTTAACAACAATAATGTCAGTTTTATACCTTGATCTTAATTTCTAACATTATTTAATATCAAATTTTTTCCGATGTAAAACAATAATGTCATGTTATTATTCTTAGCTTATGGTTTTTTTATTCCTAACCAAGTGGCCATGCAAAATTGCAAAGTTGTACTAGTTATCTACATGATTAGAGTCTTAATAAATCCAATAATTAGGGACTAAACTCACATTTTTAAAGTTATTCCACATGCACCATACAATGTACTTCAACATAGCATATCATATCTCCACTTTCCCTCTACTTTCTGTATTTTTTTTTAATAAATAATAATTAGTAAAAATAAAGTCAAAGGCTAATTCAAGATCCATGGCATTTCTGTTAATAAATCTTAATTACAAGGACAAAACAGGAAGATCAAAACTGCGATACTTGCAAAGACTTTTTTTCCCATCTCTTGTGGGGCCTTAGTAAATGGGAAGTAGTTTTGAGATAAATTTGAAATTAATTGTTTGGTGAGGGTATTTTAGTAATTTCATAAATAAATTTATTAAATCTCACACTATTAGCAATTTTTTTAAAATAAAGAAAAATGACATAAAAGGTCTACTATTTAAGGGAAAATAATAAGAGTAATTAATACTATTTAAATTGACTAAATTTCTATAAAGAGAAATTAATTTTATTAATGATGTGAGCATGACATCATAATTGTTTAGGAAAATAAGGAAGTGGTCCTTTTGTATTAAAAAAAAAGGAAAAAAGGTGATTTTTTTTCTTAATTTTTATTCAATGGATTTTTCTCTTTTTTAAGAAAAAGGGAAATTTTGTAAAGAATAAAGAAATTGAAAGCGATTTTATATAATATAATTATATATTTACGTATGTATTTATTTGGTAGTTTCATATCATATTAATTTTATATATTTTATTCACCTTTCTCCAAAATATTTACTAGTTTAAATAAATTGTTATTGTTCTTTTATTTATTTTTTTCTAGTAAATTTTATATTTTTATATAACTTAAATTATCTGAATAAAAATGTTGACTACGATTACTTTGGAGTATATTTGAATTTAATGGTTAGTTGACTATAATTTTGTAATATTATGATAAAGTAATTTCATATCTAAACTTTGTTTGAATTTTGAAATTTTAAAATGACCAATTTTAATGAAAAAGAGTAATTAATATTTGGTCAAACAAACTCCTAAAAGGGGAAAATTGGTTTTAATTCTATTTGATGTGGAAAATAATGAAATTGTCCATTTGTATTTTTTTTTGGGGGGGGGGGGGGTTAATGTAATTTTAATAAATGAATTTTTCTTTTTTTAAAAGGGGGAAAAATATATGTGTATACTAATATTGGAAAAAGGAAAAATTTAAAGCAAAAACAAAAGAATTCAAAGGAGTCTTTCGTGTTGGTATTTCCTAAAAATTATTGTCAAAAATTATGTTTTTTCTTTAATAATAAATTTTCATATTTGAAACCTACCTAAGATAATTTGAGTATTTTTATATTTTACTTCAATTGATCGAAATATCTTATAGAGTTTTTCTATCCTTGTAAGAAAAAAACAAGGCTATATATATTATTATTTTTCACATATCTCACTAGTAAAATCACACTAAACATATTTTTACTATTAAAACTATATAAAAATTACTATAAATACTACCACAATAATTGACGATTTATAATTCCTATCTAGTAAAAAGCTAACAAAAAAAATATACATATTAGTTAAGCTATTCGGGGTTCTCTTTTACCAAAAAGAGGATCTAAGGGAATCCAAAGACCAAAAACATTTGAGGAGGAACAAAATATATATATATATATATATATATATATATATATATAT